GTCTCATTTTGTCGCCAGGTGCCAGGCTGGAGAATGGCACAATCTCGGCTCACTGCAGCCTCCGCCTCCCGGCTTCAAGCAATTCTCCTGCCTTAGCCTCCCAAGTAGCTGGGACTACAGGCACACGCCACCAAGCCCAATTAATTTTTGTATTTTTAGTAGAGACGGGGTTTCACCATGTTGGCCAGGATGGTCTCCATCTCTTGACCTCATGATCCGCCCTCCTTGGCCTCCCAAAATGCTGGGATTACAGGCTTGAGCCACTGCACCTAGCCAAAGTGTACAATTTCATAAGTTTTGACATAGGTGTACAAATCATCACAATCAACCTGGTGATCACCTTCAGGCGGGGCGCAGTGGCTCACGCCTGTAATCCCAGCCCTTTGAGAGCCAAGGTAGGGAGATCACCTGAGGTCAGGAGTTTCCGAACAACCTGGCCAACATGGTGAAACCCCGTTTCTACTAAAAATACAAAAATTAGTCAGGCATGGTGGGCACCTGTAATCCCAGCTACTCGGAAGCCTGGGGCAGGAGAATCACTTGAATGCGGGAGGTGGAGGTTGCAGTGAGCCGAGATTGCACCATTGCACTACAGCCTGGGCAACAAGAGTGAAACTCCATCTCAAAAAGAAAAAAAAAAGACGACTACAACCATTGGCCCCAAAGGTGCCCTTGTACTTCTTTGTTAATTTGATTCTTCCTCCACCCTGCTCCCAGGCAATCAATCGCTGATCAAATTTCTATCACCATAGGTTAATTTGCATTTTCTAGATTTTAAATAATTTTATTTTATTGAGATGGAGTCTTGCTCTGTCGCCCAGGCTAGAGTATAGTGGCTCACTACAATCTCCATCTCCCAGGCTCAAGCGATTCTTCTGCCTCAGCCTCTTGAGAGCTGGGATTACACCACACCCAGCTAATTTTTGTATTTTCAGTACAGACAGGTTCTACCATCTGGCCAAGCTGGTCTTGAACTCCTTACCTTGTGATCCACCAGCCTCGGCCTCCCAAAGTGCTGGGATTACAGGTGTGAGCTACTGCACCCGGCCTATTTATTTATTTTTAGACATGAGGTCTTGCTCTGTTGTCCAGGCTGAAGTGCAGTGGTACAATCACAGCTCACTGCAGCCTCAAACTCTTAGGCTCAAGTGATCCTGCTGCCTCAGCCTCTTAAGTAGCTGGGACTACAGACACACAGATCTGGCTAACTTTTTTTCCTATTTTTTTTTTTAAAGATAGGGTCTTGCTATGTTGCTCAGGCTGGTCTTGAACTCCTGGCCTCAAGCGATCCTCCCACTTCTAGGATTTTATATAAATGGAATTATACAGGATAAGTTTGTGTTTTTTTTTTTTTTTTTTGTCTAACTTCATTTACTTAACATAATTGTTGAGATTCATTCATTTAGTGATCCGTATTGCTGAGTAGTATTCCATTGGGTGGATGTTCCACCATTTGCTTACCACCCGCTTGTTGATGGACACTTGGGTGATTTCCAGTTTTGGGCCATTACTAATAAAGCTGCTATGTACATTGACATATAGTCTTTGTATGGGCATATGCTTTCATTTCTTTGAGTAAATACTTGGGAGTAGAATGGTTAAGTCACACGGCAGGTGAATAATTAACGTATTTTTCTTTTTTGAGACAGGGTCTGATATGGTTTGGCTCTGTGTCTCAAATTTCATCTTTAATTGTAAATCCCCATGTGTTGACAGAGGGATCTGTAATCCCCGCGTGTGAAGGAAGGAAAGTGATTAGATTATGGGGGCCGTTTCCCCAAAGCTGCTGTTCTCTTAATAGTGAGTGAATTATCACAAGATCAGATGGTTCTATAAAGAGTAGTTTTTCCTGCATTCTCACTCTTCCCTCTGCTGCCACCATGAGAAGAAGGTTCTTGCTTCCCCTTCGCCTTTCACCATGATTATAAGTTTCCTGAGGTCTCCCCAGCCATCTGGAACTGTGAATCAATTAAACCTCTTTCCTTTATAAATTACCCAGTTTCAGGTAGTATCTTTATTGCAGTGTGAAAACGGACTAACGCTGGGTCTCGCCCTGTCACCCAGGCTAGAGTGCAGTGGTGCGATCACACCTCACTGCAGCCTTGACCTCCCAGGCTGAAGTGATCCTCCCACCTCAGCCTCCTGAGTTATCTAGGACCAAAGGCATATGACACCATGCCCAGCTAATTTTTTTTTAATTTCTTTTTTTTTCAGACGGCGTCTTGCACGTCGCCCAGGCTGGAGTCCAGTGGTGCAATCTTGGCTCATTGCAACCTCTGCCTCCTGGGTTCAAGAGATTCCCCTGCCTCAGCCTCTCGAGTAGCTGGTACTACAGTTGTGCTCCACTATGCCGGGCTAATTTTTTGTATTTTTAGTAGAGATGGGTTTCACCATGTTAGCCAGGATGGTCTCAATCTCCAGACCTGGTGATCCACCAGCCTCGGCCTCCCAAAGTGCTGGGATTACAGGCGTGAGCCACTGCGCCCGGCAGCCCAGCTAATTTCTTTTTTAAAAATTACTTACCTGGCAGGGGAGATACCATGATCATGAAGGTGGTTTTCCCAGGGCAAGGCTTATCCGTGCACTCTGGATGTGCCAACCCTGCGATTTCTCCAAATGTGGGAAACTCGACTGCATAATTTGTGGTAGTGGGGGACTGCATTTGTGCTTTCCCCTGGTTAGAAAAAAAAAATTACTTGTAGAGATGGGGTCTCCCTATGTTGCCCAGACTTGTCTTGAACTTGTCTGGGTTACTTGTCAAGGTTCAAGTGATCCCTTTGCCTCGGCTTCCCATAGCGCTGGGATTACAAGCATGAGACACCCTTCCCTGGCTATAATTAACTACTTAAAAACATAAGGCCGGGCGCAGTGACCCACTCCTGTAGTCCCAGCACTTTGAGAGGCCGAGGCGGGTGGATCATGAGGTCAAGAGTTCGAGACCATCCTGGCGAACATGGTGAAACCCTGTCTCTACTAAAAATGTAAAAATTAGCTGGGCGTGGTAGCGTGCGCCTGTAGTCCCAGCTACGTGGGAAGCTGAGGCAGGAGAATCACTTGAACCTGGGAGGTGGAGGTTGCAGTGAGCCGAGATGGCGACACTGCATTCCAGCCTGGCAATAGAGTGAGACTCCATCTCAAATTAATAAATAATAAACATACACAAATACTTCCCTACTCTGTCCCAAAGTGGTTACATTATATTACTTTCTCCCAGTAGCATATGAGAGTTTCAGTTTCTGCACATCCCCAACAACATTTGGTACAGTTAATTTTTAAAATGTCAACCATTGCAGTGGGGGCATAGCAGTCTGTCTCTGGTTTTAATTTGCATGTAACCAATGACTTACGGCATTGAACATTTCTTAATATATTTCTTTGCCATCTGTATCTAATCTTTAGCAAAATGTCTATTTAGATCTATCTTTTGTCTGTTTTTTCTTTTCTTTTTATTTTTTTGAGACAGGGTCTTATTCTGTTGCCCAGGCTGGGGTGTAGTTGGGCTTGTCACCCAGGCTGGAGTGTAGTTGCACAATCGTGGCTCACTGCAGCCACAACCTCCAGTGCTCAAGGATCCTCCCACCTCAGTCTCTGAGTAGCTGGGACCACAGGGATGTGCCACCAAGCCCAGAGATTTTTGTATTTTTTTGGTAGAGATGGGGGTCTTACTATGTTGGCTCAGGCTGCCCTCCAACTCCTGGGCTCAAGCAATCCTCCTGCCTCCACCCCCTAAGTGCTGAGATTATGTGTGAGCCACTGCATCAGCCTCTTTTATCCATTTTTTTATTGGGTTATTTGACTTCTTATTACTGAGATGTAAGAGTTTTTTTTAATGTATTCTAGATACAAGTTCTTTGTTGGAGATCTGTTTTGCGAATATTTACTCCCAGGCTGTGAGTTGCCTTTTCATTTTTGTAAACAGTGTCTTTTCAAGATAATTGGGGCCAGGCATGGTGGCTCACCCCTGTAATCTCAGCACTTTGGGAGGCCAAGGTGGGCAGATCACCTGAGGTCAGAAGTTCTAGACCAGCCTGGCCAACATGGCAAAACCCCATCTCTACTAAAAATACAAAAATTAGCTGGGCATGGTGGCTCACGCCTGTAATCCCAGCTACTCAGGAGCCTGAAGCAGGAGAATCGCTTGAACTCGGGAGGCGGAGGTTGTAGTGAGCCAAGATTGCACCACTGCACTCCAGCCTGGGCAACAAGAGCAAAGCTCTATCTCAAAAAAATAAATACATAAAAATAAAATAAAGTTAATTGGTTAAGCAATTTGCTCATGATGTAACTTTATGTAGTTTTCTTCAGATTTCTTCTGTTTGGGGTTCATTGAGCTTTTTTGTAATTACTGCTAATTTTCATCAAATACAGAAATTTTTATTTCTTTTAGTGTTTAAGTCCCTTCGAGTCTCTCCTCTTCTTCTGGGACTTCAGTTACATGTAAATTATACTTTGACGTCCCACAGTTCATTGATCCTCTGCTCCTTTGCTTTTTATTTTTCCCCCTTTGTTCTCTCTGTATTTAATTTCGGATAGTTTCTACTGCCTTGTCTTCAAATTCAGTAATCTGCACTTCAGTGCCTAGATTGCTGCTAATCCCATCCAGTCTATTTTTAATCTCACATATTGCAATTTCTTTATCCAGTAGTTTTGAATTTGGAGTTTTAGAAATAGACTTCGTGTCTCTTATGCTCAGGATTTTGTCTACCTTCTTGAACATACAGAGTCTGTAATTTCTGTTTTAATGTCCTTGTCTACTAATTCTGCCTATCATTTATGTCATTTCTCAGTCAGTCTCTCTATAGATTTATTTTCATTATCATGATGAGTCATATTTTTCCACTCTTCATATACCTGGTCATTTTCAATTGGATGCAAGATGCTGTGATTTTAAATCGTTGTATTCTGGGATTTTTTTCCTTTTAATTTTCAGCTTTGGTCTTGGAGGCAGCTAAGTTACTTGGAAACAATTTGACCCTTTTGAGGCTTGCCTTTAAGTTTTTTCTAGGGCTCATTTGGCAATACTCTCTTTTCTGAGTCCTCTGTCTGAAGCTGGTTTATTAGGAGGTCTTTCTACTCTGCCATTGGAAACATGAAATATACCCAGTTCTGTGAGTTCTGGTGATGGCTCTGCCTGTCCTTTCCAATGGCTCTTTCCCCAGCTGTGGTAGTGTCCCCACACATCCGCACTGATCAGCATTCAGGCGAAGTTTGCAGATCACTGGAGCTCTCTTTTTCTTTTTTTCTTTTTAAATTTATTTTAATTTGTTCATTTTTTTTAGAGACGGGGGTCTCACCAAGTTGGTCAGGCTGGTCTCGAACTCCTGACCTTGTGATCGCCCACCTCGGCCTCCCAAAGTGCTGGGATTACAGGCATGAGCCACCGCGCCTGGCTGGAGCTCGTTTTCTATAAGCTTTCTCTTTTGCAGGGCTTTGCCTTGAAAATTCCAGCCACCTCCCTAAATGCTTAACTGTTTCCTCAGCTCAGGTATGTACATGAAAATACAGGTTTTTCTGTATAGTTATACATTTTCTTTTCTCACAGGTAAATACCTGGGAGTCAGATTGCTGACTCATACTGTAAATATGTGTTTTACTTTACAGGAAACTTCCAGATTTTCTTCCAAAAAGGATGTATCATTGTGCAATTCCACCCAGCAAAATGGCCACACCATTCACCAATTTCACCCAATAACATAGAATAATTCTCTTCTCATTTTTTCTTTTAGCCTTTCTAATAGTTGTGTTTTTATTTTTATTTTATTTTTTTAAAGATTGGGTTTCACCATGTTGGTCAGGCTGGTCTTGAACTCCTGACCTCAGGTGATCCGCCCGCCTTGGCCTCCAAAGTGTTTGGATTACAGGCGTGAGCCACCGTGCCCGGCCTATTTTTATTTTATATATATTTTTTGAGACAGAGTCTCACTCTGTCGCCAGGCGCCAGGCTGGAGTGCAGTGGCGTGATCTCGGCTCACTGCAAACTCCGTCTCCCAGGTTCAAGCAATTCTCCTGCCTCAGCCTCCTGAGTAGCTGGGACTACAGGCATGCACCACCACACCCAGCTAATTTTTGTATTTTTAGTAGAAATGGAGTTTCACCATGTTGGCCAGCCAGGATGGTCTCGATCTCTTGACCTCGTGATCCGCCTGCCTCCGCCTCCCAAAGTGCTGGGATTACAGACGTGAGCCACCGTACCAGACTTTATTTTTTATTTATTTATTTATTTTTTGAGACAGAGTCTCCCTCCATTGCCAGGTGCCAGGCTGGAGTGCAGTGGTGCGATTTCGACAGAGTCTCACTCTGTCACCAGGCGCCGGGCTGGAGTGCAGTGGCATGATCTCGGCTCACTGCAAACTCCGTCTCCCAGGTTCAAGCAATTATCCTGCCTCAGCCTCCTGAGCAGCTGGGACTACAGGCATGCGCCACCACGCCCAGCTAATTTTTGAATTTTTAGTAGAGACAGTGTTTCACCGTGTTGGCCAGGATGGTCTCGATCTCTTGACCTCGTGAACCACCCACCTCGGCCTCCCAAAGTGCTGGGATTACAGGAATAAGCCACTGCGCCCAACCTATTTTTTATTTTTTTAATAGAGACGGGGTTTTATCATGTTGGTCAGGCTAGTCTCGAACTTCTGACCTCGTAATCCACCTGCCTTGGCCTTCCAAAGTGCGGGAATTACAGGTGTGAGCCACTGTGCCTGGCCTATTTTTTGATTTTCCTAATGACTAATGATGCTAAACATTTTAAATGTGCTTACTGCTATCTATAATCTTTAGTGTTAAAATATTTTTATTTTAAAAACTAGCTGGTTTTTGCCTTATGATTGAGAACAAAATTTAAATACATGCTTTGAGTTTTAATCTATATACCATAAAATTCACCCATGTTGAAGGTAGAGTTGTGGAACCATCACAACAATACGGTTTCAGAAAATTTTCACCATCCCAAAAACTTTCCTTCTGCCCATTTGCTGTCAATCCCTACTCCTACCCTAAGGCCCAGGCAACAACTGATCTGCTTTATGTCTTTATGGACTTACATTATTTGAACTTGGAAGAAATAGAATCACACAATACGTAGTATTTTTTCTGTTTTTTTTTTGAATAATATTTTTGCGATTCTTTGATGTTATAGCATTTATGAATTGTTTCTTTTTTAAAATTTTTTTTTAATGGAACGCTTCATGAATTTTTGTGTCATCCTTGTGCAGGGGCCATGCTAATCTTCTCTGTATCATTCCAGTTTTAGTATATGTGCTGCCGAAGCAAGCACTGTTTCTTTTTTATTGCTGAAAAGAATTACATTATAAGGATACACCACATTTTGTTTGTTTGTTTTGAGACAGAGTCCTGCTCTGTCTCCCAGTCTGGAGTGCAGTGGTGCAGTCTTGGCTCACCGCAACCTCCATCACCTAGGTTCAAGCAATTCTCATGCCTGAGCCTCCTGAGTAGCTGGGACTACAAGTGCATGCCACCACACCCAACTAGTTTTTTTTGAATTTTTATTTATTTATTTATTTGGGACAGAGTCTCACTCTGTTGCCCAGGCTGGAGTGCAGTGGCACATTCTTGATTCACTGCAACCTCCGCCTCCCAGTTTCAAGCGATTCTCCTGCCTCAACCTCCTGAATAGCTAGGACTAGGGGCACGTGCCACCACACCCAGTTAATTTTTGGTATT